AGTAAAGAAGGCTATACGATATATGCTACGGAGGTCACAACACTATTAGTCTCCAATCAATTCCCTAAGTCTGCTATTGACACTCCAATCGTTTACCTAAAAAAATATTTTGAAAACATGAGTTAAAAAGTCCAGTGAATGGAAATACATGCATTTTTAAAGTGGCTGAAAAATATTTTTGGCATGCGATATGTAAATCAAATATTTGGAAAAATAACTTCAACAACATAACCAATTTCTCAAGAATAACACAATCAGGTTTCAACAAGAAATCATACCACAACGGTGAATCATATCATAATGGTGGAGATTGTACGATATCCAATAATCAATGGGAACCAAATACCAAATACAATAACTGATAACAAGAAAATACGTATGACATACGATAGATAATCATCAACAAAGCCAGTAAAAATGTTGTGACAATAACAAATTATATCATTATCTCATATTGGTAAGGACTTGTACAATATCTGGGAACCATACCAAATGCCAGAAGATCTCAAGGTTGGATCCAACATCGTACTTAGGGTCACCACGGGTTGCTGCACGGGAACTGTTCCCTAAGACGATCCGGTGAAGGTAACTAGGAATTGTTTCTTTAACCGTTGAGCACTAGGGTCACCTCAGTCTCCCCCGGGTCTGTTCCCTAGTGGCCAGGGTCACCTGCACACAAAGGAATAATTTTTTTGGACTTTTAGTACCAAATGTCAGAATATATCTCAGGGTTAGATCTAGCATCGTACTTAGGGTCACCACAGCCTCCCTCGGGTCTGTTCCCTAAGACGATCCGATGAAGGTCACCAGGGCGCACTAGGTACTGTTCTTCAACCGTTAAACACTAGGGTCACCTCAGCCTCCCCCGGGTTTGTTCCCTAGTGGCCAGAGTCACTGCACACAGAGGAATAATTTTCCTAGACTTTTAATTTTGGTCCCATTCACCATCACTAAGTCTCATCATATAAACAAGTGATTGAGTCACAATACTTCACAAAATGATTCATTAAAGTAAGGAGAATCGTATGCTATAAGTATTTAGACACTTAGTAAAACATTTTGTAAAGGTAGTAATGAACTAGCATAATGTATTGTTTTTAAAATATTTAGGAATACGAAAAATTTTTGAAGATACGTAGCATGCCAAACCACTCACCTCAAGTCCAAATGATATACTTTTTGAGTGTTGCTTGTTACTTGAAATGAGATGTTATTGATGCCTTTTCTCTTTCTCTCACGATTTCCTTTCTCCTTTGATAAGGTGCTCTTCCTTCTTTCTTCTTTTACTCTCTATTCTTTCTTGAAAGTGGAAGACTACTTGTGTACTTCTATTCTTAATCCAATCCCTAAATACTCTATTTATAGGCATCCTAGGATTATTCTAGAGAATATTGACATGTGACATTTTTAGGGGAGATTTCCTAGAATATTCTACCATCTCTCCTCTCCTAGATTCTTCTAGGTTTTTAACTTATTTTGCACATAACAATTCCGCAAGTATTTAGATTCATCTATAATATTCTAAAGTCTTCTCTAACCTTCTAAATCTTTTCAAAATTTTCTGGAACATTCTAAATCCCTCTAGAACCTTCTAAAATATTCTAGACTTCTCTAGATTGTTCTAGAACTTTTCGGATTCTTCTAGAAATTTCTTCAACATTCTAGATTGTTTTAGACTATTCTAGGTTATTCTTGAACTTTCTAGAATTTTCTAGACTATTCTACATTTTTTTAGAAATTTTTTCAATATTTTAGATTATTCTAAACTATTCTAAATTCTTCTTTAAAATTTTTCTTATTCCTTACAAGATAATATTTTTAACTAGTTCCTTGCCAAATTGGAACGAGGTATTACAACTACCATCTTGAACTCCATCATAATTGTTTCCATCATTATGAGAATGTACTTGTGAGAATTACTGGTTGCTTAAATTTTGGTGGACTTTTCGTTATTCTCTGAAACTCTTCATCATACATTGGTGAAGTATTTTTCGTTGCTTTACTTGATCCGTCTCCACTTTGGATCTTGATTTTCGTGGTGACACAACGCTCTGACTTTGGCTAACTCTTCCATCATCATATGAAAAACGATTTGCCCATGTTAGCAAGAAAGTGTTTGGTTTTGTTGGTTGTCCATCATCATCAAGTTCATCTAAAAATACATCACTAGGATCATCTAACCACTTTGGAATACCTTCATCCTCCACAAAAAATAGTGGTCAAGCCTATGGGTCTGAATTCATACCCTTTTTTCTCTTTCATAAGATGTTTTAACTTCAATTTCATGTTATACTATGCAAACATGAACATTTCCAACTTTTGATAATCAAGTCAATTTCGCACTTTAATATAAATGAGAGCAAATGTGCTCCAGTTTCTCTTATGACCACTATATGAGGTTATTTACGATAATATTTTCATAGTGATCTTTCTCAAATTAGGAGCATCAGTGCCATACATAAATTACTATTCAGCTATATAATAATAAGAAACATTTTAAAACTGTAAAGAAAACATAAACAGAAAACCATGAGCACAAAGTATTATGTTTAAATAATCTACTTAATTACTTGGAGCACTTTTGGTTCTTCCCCTAATTGCAACTTGGCAAGCAAAACAATACACGACCTATCGAAATATTTTTACCTAAATATAATGGATATGTTGATGTTGTATATTAAAATAGTACATACTCTTAAAATGAAATCGAAATAATAGAGTATTACCTTTGCAAGTGTTTGCGCATCCTTGCTTGGATTTGTCTCTAATCTAGACACAACGATTCGAAGCGAACCCAATAAATTTTCCAACACTAACATCTTCATAATGATATGTGGGGTTCAAGTAATAAGCTACACAACATACTCTTTATGAGCTAACTTGTGTCATATCCAAAATTATAACACTTATAAATAATAAAAATAAAAATAAATATTATTAAACAATAAGTTTACTTGCCATATGAATATGGTAAAAATGACCTTAAGCTTTGCTTGGTGGAATATTCTCATAATAAAATACTTTGCAATAGTAAGTTTTGTCGACTTAGCCCATTTTTTGGGATTCTACATTTGAGTTAACTTAGTTTGCTTGATTTTCTTATTTTGATTCATTGAAGGATCCATCTCTTATATCGTGAGATATTTTCCTTCGACCATCAGTTTTTGTGATTTTTTTGAAAATTTATCCCAAGTTTTCTTCACACTATGTAGACACGTCAAACCTCTAGATGTACCAACCTTTTTGGATAGATGTTCTGGAACTTCCAATTCTAAAAGCCCTGCTCGGCCATATGTATGTCATGAATAGATTGTTGTTTTGTATACTCAATATCATCTCTCTTCTATATCCATACCATTATATGAATACTCATTACAAGAATAAATTTTGATACCATTTCTTCATCTTGATCCACCAATTAAATTGTTTTGTTTTTCTTCGTTCATTAGTCATTTTGGTACTTTCATTCTTGTTAGGATTCAAGTAATCTCTCATAGCTCTTGAAATTTCTAAAAGACACTTTTCAAATTGTTCTACATTATTATAATCGCCAGTTAAGTGTTGTTTTAAACGTGAGACACTGTCATAATTCATTATTTTATAGCAAAAATTGCACATCACATATCGGTTATCCCCAATTCGCTCACTATAATTTCATCTAATATCACGTTCTTTTTTCTTTTTTTGGGTTGATTCAATAATCACATTCTTTCCCTTGGATGTCATATTTACAATAAATACATTACATTATCAAACACTATTTTTATATTGCAAATTAAATTTGACATGTATAGCATTTTTAAATTAAAATGTTATCAAATTAATAATACTAATTTACAAATTAATAATACTAACTTTTATTCTTGTAGCATACTATTATAATACTAATTTACTAATTTAAATTGTGTCATCAAATTAATAAGTAATATTATTTCATTAATATTAAAATCATTACATAAACAATTTTTACACACATATAAACTTGATTCTAGATATTTAACAAACAAGGTATATACTATAAAATAAATTACAACTATTTAATATACCAATATAACTAATAGTAATAACATTCAATAACAATTAGAAAAAAGAAAAAAAGGTGAGCATTATTAGATGGGTTCTTTGATAAAAGAAAAGGGGGGCACTAAATTAAGTATAACTTATAAACTTAAAAAAAAACAAAGAAAAAAGGGGGAAAAAAAATTCTGATGGTATTGCAAAGTCGAAAGTCTTTAGGGGCCTAAATATGTAAGTGAATTTTTTCAGGTATTTCTTAGGTATTGAAGTTGTTAGGTCTAAGCAGGGTATTTGTATGTCTTAGAGAAAATGTGTTTAACATGTTAGCGAAAGCAGGTTTATTAGGTAGTAGACCAATTCATGTTCCTATGGATCCGAACCAGAAGTTTAAGATACCAGAGTAAAAGGTTCAGAGTTATGTTGGCCCCATATGTATTTGATTTGTTCAAGTTAGATTAGATTGAAATGCAATAGTACTGTTAAAATGTAACATCACTGGAAGTAGTAGAAAAGTCAATAAATTTAGACATCCTAGATATTAACAAAGTTTCTAGAATGACTTGACAGTGTTTGAACTTTTGCTGATGACTCTTTTGACCCCTTTACTTTGATAGTGGAAATTCCACTATAAGTTTCTTGTGGAATCTTATGTATCAATGATTGATCATTTCTATGGAAATAATGATTTCTTCTCCCAAAAGAATGTTGGTTTTTCAAATTTCAAAATGTTTTATATTTAAGTTTTAGTAGGAAAGATGGGAGATAGAGTTGGGAGGAAAGAATGATGCCTTCTCCTCAAAGAATGTGGCGTTATCAAATTGAAAATGTATTATACTTGGGTGTTTGTACTTGGTAGGACAGCCTATGGGAGATAAATTTAGGAGCACACATGAATGTTCTTTGTTTTTTCTGTTTATTTTTTATTCTTTTCATGAAGTTTAAAAATGTCGAAGGCTAGATCCAAATTGGCTCACCAAAAAGTTATGTTGGCTATTTACCATAGGGAACTGTACTTTTTCTAACCGTGGGTCCAATTGTGTAATAGTTTTCCAAATAGTTCGATAAACCATAGTTTTTCAAATTGTTGCTCAAACACATGAACTGCAGATAGGTGAAATAGAAAATACATGGACCAGTTGGAGAATGTTTGGTCTGGTTTATGTTGATTTATCTTCTAGATAATGAGATTGAGTTTCTCAGAACTGTGTTTCTGTTTTCAGGCCGGTGACAAATTTCGATGAGATTGCATTCCACTTCATTGAGTGCATACATTTCCATGTGCAACATTCTAGAATGCAGGTACTTTTTTGTCCAGTGCTGTTGCATTTATTATGCTCTAAAATCTAAATTGACCACACATTCTATAGCTCGCTGACAGATTTATGATATGCATCTGTTAATATTTTTACTAAGGACCAAAATTTATGATATTTGTCCAGTACTGTTGTATATATTATGCTCTAAAATCTAAATTTACTACACATTCTATAGCTCGCTGACAGATTTATGATATGCATCTGTTAAAATTATTACTGAGGACCAAAATTTTGTTATTATCATACATGGTAATGTGTCCTTAAATGAACGTATTGTATTGCTTGAAGCAGAAAGGGGATACTTTGGTTCAGCCTGAGACAAGAAATCCATCTTTGGACGCACCTACACCCAACGGGTTCAATGGGAGTCAGACATCCCTATCAAATCAAGTATGGAACCAAATGTGTAACTTAATTTTCTTCTGTAGATATCTTGTTCCATGTGTGTAAACAATGTACTGTGTTTTCTCTAGTTCTCTGGGCAATTTAGTGTTGATGGACTTAAAGGATTGGATCAGATGGTCCTTGCATATCTGCAGCAACCTTCAAATTTGTAAGTCATGTGTTAACCTATGCCTTCGATAATTTTTTTTCTTGTCACTGGTGTAATTTCTGCTTACATCAGTTTGTGCAATTTTATTTTCTCTGCATTCATCTATAATACATGGCTACCTTGAAGAATCAACATTAAGCTCTAGAATCATGGTTCTGATAAAAAGTTCCTCCTTTAGATAGTCTTATGTTTGATTTATCTTCTGTTTTCTTTTGCCATCGATTCATTGTGAACAATTGATGTTTGCAGTGGACTTGAGAAGGGAGTACACAGGGATGAACTTGCCCAAAAGTTAAAAATTCATGTGGAGAAGATCATGTACTCTCTCAATCTCTGTATCTCTCTTTCCCTGTGGGTGCTGTCATTTATTTATATGTCCTCTTTGTCTATGGCAGGGAATCAATTAGAGTTCTCGAGGAGGAAGGCTTGATATACTCAACAATTGATGAATTTCATTACAAGTCGACTGTAGGCGGCTGATCTATAGATTTGTTCCGATAAGAGATTGTTATGAAACGCATTTGTTTTGTTTCTAGCTTGTAAAAAGGTTGATGATAATTTATGCTTTACTCATAAAACACTACCAGAACGCCAGTACCAAGTAGTATCGCTGCCCTTTTTTCAGAAACAATTCACGTAATCATCAGTCTCTTGCCATTTGATGCTTAGTAGCTTCGTCTTGATCATGAGCACATTATATAAAGGCATTTAATTTCGCTTAGTGTTCCAGTTCCAATTTAATTCATCAGATACTCTAATTTGAGCATACCCACCCCCCCACCCCCCCTCCGCCCCCCCCCAAAAAAAAAAAACAAAAACCCCAAAAAAATCTCTGCTGTGGTGAGCACGTTTTTGTCCAAATTAATTGGATAGTTAGTCGGGTAGAAAATTTGGTAACATGTTTTGTAGTTATTAATTTTTGGATCAATAATTCAATTAAGTATTATGTATCAATTTAATAACATAATAAATTAATAACGCTAAAACCTAAAATAATTATAATAAAATACAAGAAAGTTTAAGACAAATATCAATCTTTCATAATTGTTGTTCAAATATATTAACAATTATTTTAGTCTTAAACTATATGAAATATTAAAATTATAATTGTTCCAATAGATTTTTACAAATCATGTAATTTGCATCAAAAATAAGTCGATGGTTTAGTAACTCAAACATCCATACCAATAACAACATTATAAGTTATACCACACAAATAATCTTATAATTATTCTAAATATAGAAAAGTTAAATAGTATATTTCGTGCTAGTCATTCAAGAGCAATTGCAATTTTCTTTGCAATTATTTCAAAGATAAAAAAGAGTAAGAAAAAAATTAGAAACGAAGAATTCATCAACAAATAATAAAATAAGTAACAATAAAAATATAAAAACCTAAATCTAGTTTATAACTTTTTGAATCCTCCAACACATATTCAAAGTCATAAGCATTGGATGACGATCGAAACCAATTTTGTGCATATATGAGACCCTCAACTGTTTTGGGTGCCAGGTAACTTTGAAAAATATCTAAAATACGACCCCCAGTGTTAAAAGTCAATTCTGATGCCATCGCAGAAATGCGAATAGCTAACACATCACGAACTATTTGGGTAAGGATCAAGAATTTAAAAGTAACAATACAAATCTAAAAACCTGAATCTAGTTTATAGTTTTTTGAATCTTCCAAAACATATTCAAAGTCATAAGCAATGGATAATGATCGAAGCCAATTTTGTGCATATATGAGACCCTCAACTGTTTTGGGTGTTAGGCAACAAAAAGTATCTAAAATACGACCCCCAGTGCTAAAAGTCAATTTTGATGCCACCACAGAAATGAGAATAGCTAACACATCACGAGCTATCTGGGCAAGGATCAAGAATTTAGAAGAATTAACCTTCCACCAATCCAAAATATCAAAATTGACAGTAGCTAATTTAACATCCTTCATCAAATATTGATCTTACTCTGCTTTGTTCTCTATATTGTCTCACTCAACTCTATACTTGCGGTACCTATTCATGAAATTTGTAGGTACTTGATCTTGAGTAGACATATTAGTCGAAAACACATTTTTCTCATGGTCAACACTTGACCGCACTCCATACCCCACGATAAATCTAGTGTACTGTTGGCATAACCGGTCAATGACCCTTTTAATCTTTTCAACTAGTTGAACCTTAACTACTTTATCCTTAGCCTTATAATTGTCATTGAGCCAAAATTTTAAAGCATCTAATTTATAGTGTGGTTCAAGGACAATAACAACAAACAACAAACAACAAACAACAAACAACATCAAATTACTATTATTTAAATGACCCCATTACTTATCATACTTGTTTTTCATTCTCATAGTCATGGTACTCAAAAGATAGTCATCATCTTCACAATAACCTTGCAAATGTTCATATACAGTATAAAGTTCTTGAAAAAACAAGTTAGATGTGATATACAATGATCCAAAAGTGCGCAAAGTGACTTTTTAGAAAAGTTTTAAAAACTTCATAAACACAGGAACAATGTCCCAATCATCAAATGTAGGTGGCCCTAAACCACCCCCGCACTCAATTGACTTACAAATTGGCCACCATCTTCTAGCAATAAACCAAACGCACCTTGATAATACTCAACAACTTTGAGCATCAAATATGTAGAGTTCCATCTTGTTGGAACATCAAGGCAAATAAGACCCTTTTCACCAATTTTTTGCCTCTCAACACATGACTTAAACTTGTTAAGCCTTGAAAGAGAAGACTTCACATATTTAACAGAATTTCGTACCTTAAAAATTTGACGTGTTCATTTCCAATTGTCACACCCTTATGATTAGAAACTTTCATAAAATTGATTATTCGTTTGTGTAACTTTCAATCCTTATCAATTGAATGCGTAGTTAAGGACATAAGTTAGATTCAGGTTGATATCAAACACCAAGTAGGTGGGTGATAAGTGAGTTCGGTATTGTTGGACCAAGGTCCGATAGAGTCGCACAGTTGCATGGCATGAAAAACTTGTGTTGGGTATAGCAAAAAGGGCTAGACATGTCCTCGGGTGCAAGACCCGACTACTAGTTTTATACACTTTCTACGGTGCAAGTCCAAAAAAGTGTATCGGTTGGCGGAGCTGGTGGTGCGACACCAAAAGTCCGCTACCCAAACAAAGACACATGGTTTTATTATCTAATGATTTCATTTGATGGGAAACATCCATGGATGAAGTGGTTTTGTAAATATATAGTTGGTGTGTTAAAGATGATCATTGGATGCATTTCATCAATGATAAAGGTTTCACACTTGCATTGCATAGTGTGGTGAGAGCCGGTGAGGGCTCGGTTGATGTGCGTGAGTCAGTCTCATCTCATTTCATGGTATGACATGATAGATTTCAATATGAATTGTTTATTCTTGCATTGGGATGAATTTTGGTTGTGTGTTGTTGCATGTATACATTCATATGCACTTAGGTGGGGAGTAGCCCTTGTAGGAAATATTCTATTGGGCGTTGGCTCACCCTATACGGGAAACATTTAAGGTGCAAGATTTGTACTAGGAGAGGACTCGCATTCGGGACCTCGAGGGTGAAGAAAAGCCGGTTGTGGCTTTTGGAAACAAGTTTTGTAAAACTTTGGTTAAATGTCGTTTTGACATGTAAATTATGTAAATGCATGTAATAGAACTTGTATGGATCATGGTAGGTGTAGAAAATGTTATTATACTTGTCGGGATGGATTTGGAAATCGAAAACTGATGAAACATAAAATTCTAGACAACACCTATCGGTAGCTAACAAGTAGTGCCTATCCAGTAGGTAATAATTATCGGTAGCTAACAGGTAGTACCCGTCCAGCAGACAAAACCTACTGGTAGCTAACAGGTAGTACCTGTCCAGTAGAAAAAAGCTACTGGTTGCTTTCAGGTAGAACTTCTACCGGTAGGTCTAACAAACACCTACCGGTAGCTCTTCCAAAAATCTGAAATTTTAAGAGTGTATTGCCATACTCTTGGGCTATGTGTTCTTTGGTTCTAATGACACAAATAGACCTTAAATAAGATACATTGGGGTATGTTGAACCTCAATGGAATCAAATGAATTAAAGAAAACACGGATCCTCGTGTGAGTTGTTATCCCGGTTACAGGGATGTGATAAACGTGATGTCGGGTTATACCACAATCATAGGTATTTCTGCGAGTTGATGGATGGTCAACGGTTTTAGGGGCGTCACAACCAATGTTATATATTTTCTTGGTTAGATATTGGGATATATCACAAGAATTATGTATGTAACATCCCCAAGCCGCCTCTTGAAAGAGGTAGCCGGGGTGGCCCAATATAGCCCAGTCACTCCCCCCCTTCGTAACCGATGTGGGATACCAGGACTGCGCATCCTTAACAGGAACCTCACAATCCACCCCCCTTCGGGGCTGCACGTCCCCGTGCATCCTTAACAGGAACCTCACGTGACCCATGCAGGGTCCCACCCGGGTCCAGCCGGGGGTCGGAGGTTCCTGTTAAGGATGCGCAGTCCTGGTATCCCACATCGGTTACGAAGGGGGGAGTGACTGGGCTATATTGGGCCACCCCGGCTACCTCTTTTAAGAGGCGGCTTGGGGATGTTACAAATGGTATCAGAGCCGACTCCCGATGGGGCCTGTAAGTATGCTGGAGGTTCCTTGTAAGGATGCCAGAGGTTACTCAGGGTCGCTTAGGGGGGGAGTCCTGGGCTGGTTGCTAATACCTTGGCTACCTCTTTTAAGAGGCGACTTGGGGATGTTACAAATGGTATCAGAGCCGACCCCCGGCTGGACCCGGGTGGGACCCTGCACGGGTCACGTGAGGTTCCTGTTAAGGATGCACGGGGACGTGCAGCCCCGAAGGGGGGTGGATTGTGAGGTTCCTGTTAAGGATGCGCAGTCCTGGTATCCCACATCGGTTACGAAGGGGGGGAGTGACTGGGCTATATTGGGCCACCCCGGCTACCTCTTTCAAGAGGCGGCTTGGGGATGTTACAAATGGTATCAGAGCCGACTCCCGATGGGGCCTGTAAGTATGCTGGAGGTTCCTTGTAAGGATGCCAGAGGTTACTCAGGGTCGCTTAGGGGGGAGTCCTGGGCTGGTTGCTAATACCTCGGCTACCTCTTTTAAGAGGTGGCTTGGGGATGTTACAATGTAACATGTAAGATATCAATGATTCATCATCTGACGAAGGTGAACAAGATAAGGAAATAGCCTGCTCATCCCATTGTTAATCACAAGCTAATTATTATAAAGCTGTTTTAGATATGAATGAATTGAGTATAAATAGTAACATTCAAACATAAAAAGTAGTTAACATTCAAAAAAAAAAATAGTAACATTGAAAACAAAAAATAGAAACATATTAACATTTGGGTAAAATAAAACAAAAAATAGTAACATTCAATATTAACATTACATGCAATATTGACAATAGCATGCTCAACAAAAAAAAAAAAATTAGTAATATGGTCAACAAAAAGAGTAGTAACATGAAACATTGAACAAAATTAGGGATCAAACCAATAGCACAATGAGCAACTTTAAGCAACATGCATGAACACCTAATGATGCATATGAGAGAAAACAGTAACATGCTCACAAAAAAAAGTAGTAACATGGAATATTGAATAAAATTGGGAGT